CCGAGATTGCCATTGCCATTGCCATTGCCAGGAGCAGCAGCAGCAGCAGCAGCAGCAGCAGCACAACCACCGATGTGTCGGCGGTGATCAGTGTTGAGCTCGTCGAGGGGCAGAGACACACTGCCGTTGGTGCAGTGGGGGATGCTGATGATGATGCTGCTGATGAGCGCATTAGTGTAAGTCAAAAAGTAGTAGTCAATTGTGAAGTGCAGCTTTTTTGGCGACGAGCACTGCCCAGNAGCAGCAGCAGCAGCAGCAGCAGCAGCACAACCACCGATGTGTCGGCGGTGATCAGTGTTGAGCTCGTCGAGGGGCAGAGACACACTGCCGTTGGTGCAGTGGGGGATGCTGATGATGATGCTGCTGATGAGCGCATTAGTGTAAGTCAAAGGGAGGTAGTCAATTGTGAAGTGCAGCTTTTTTGGCGACGAGCACTGCCCAGCGGTGCGCGCACACGTGAGCGGTGCACTTTCACTGCCGCCCCCGGTGTTCCACCTCTTAACGGTGTTGTAATCGACTTAGTTGACCAACTGCGCCAGCTGCATTTTACAGTTGAACAGTCGGTTGTGTTTTTATCAGATCTATGCTTTAGCAAAATAAACATTAGTAAAAGCACTATTTAAAATAAAACGGTATAAATGCACGTTCTTGCTTAAAAATAAACTGTTTTGGTCAGATGGCAAAACAACCGAACTTTTAATATTTAACATCTCTAAAAAAACTGACCACGTGAAAGAGATTTTATCTACTACAGAAAAAAACATTTTATCATAACCGTTTTTCTACTTGAACTAAAGCAATTTTCCTGTAATTGCAACAGAAAAAACCGTTGTGCATATTTTTTACTCCGTTTTCACACCATTTGCCCTGTTCACAGTACAAGTATTTGACTCGTTAAAGAGAGCGCGCGCGCCCGCCAATTTGTGATTGGCAGACAATTCTCCGTTTTCCCGTTGGACCGATCCAACAGCAACGAGGCGTTCCCGAGTGACAGCTTCTATCTCTCTCTCTCTCCTACTACTTCTCAAGTGTTAGTGACTCTAGCGGCAGGGTAGTCTAGGAAGGCAATGGTTCTGTCACCAACTTTTAAGCAACGTTGCAATGTGTGTGTGTGTGTGTGTGTGTGTGTGTGTGTGTGCATGTGTTTTGGTATATGTGTGTGCATTTGCACTGCAGCCTAACGGCGGCAGTGGTTTAGGCCATTGGCGGCTTGTAGGCACTAACCGAAAAGTGAGCGAATAAGAGAGAGAGAATTCTATTGGATCGAATAAAGCGGTGTAGCGGTGGCCATTGCCGGCACACTTTACCCGCACGCAAGCTCACATTGACGGGGATATACAGACACACACACACACACACACACACACACACACACACACACACCAAAACAGTTTGCCTGCCAATCGATGCGCCCGTCGCTGAGCACGAATATTCCCCACTCACAGAAGCAAAGACTAACTGTCGATTGTCAATTTCTCAGTTGAGCAGTCTCATTTTTCATTCTCTCTCTCTCTTTCTTTTACTCTTTCCACCATTTGAACATTCTTGCTCATTGACAACCTGCACTATCAAATTGGTCTTTTTTTCTTTCTTTTTTCCTTTCCAGTCGATATCGCCAGTCACTCAAGTTTTCACTCAAGTCAACTTCTGAGCCACAGAATCATCAGTGGTAGACTTAACTTTCTCTTAAAGTTTCAGCTTTTTGCTTCAACTGTTCAAACTTTTTTGTCTTTTTTTGCAAAAAACTTTGCAAGTTTTCTGCTGTTGTGCTGCAGCGTAAGTCCAAGAAAAGTGAAAATGCTGGTGAAGGCTCTGACTTACCTGGGCATTGTCAGCCTGCTGCATGCCGCTTTTTCCGCCGCCCAACACAAGAGCTACCGGCGCATTGTCCACGAAGAGGAGGAGGAGGGTGCCATCAGCGGCTATGACTTCTTCGCCACCAGTCTGCCGGCGGACATCATCGCCCAGGCGGTCATCTCAATGCTAGTCGTCCTCAGCTGCCTCATTGCCCGGGCTGGATCATTCCGGGAGATTCAAACGCTGGATGATCTCAACCGAAAGCCCACTGATATGTTTGAGAATCAGCCCAGCTTTTACGTGTTCAATCATCGTGGACGAATTCTCCGATAAATGACCGGGCACCTTCTTATCAGAACTATGTGGAAGATAGCAGAACTGACCAATGGAAAAAGTGGTCGTGCTCACATTAAAGTACAACACTTCTATTTGATATAAAACTACATAAAAGTACAAACATACTCAAACTGAACAATGTATTGTTTTTATATGTCTAGTTAGATCATATTTTTGTTAATTTATTACTTATTAATAAATTTTTGACAAATCAAACTAACTTTTGGTATATTTTGACTATGTTTTGACTTTTGTATTAAATAAAATAGCGGTTGTCAATTCGCTAGTGACGTGAGCTTTGAGAATTCAAAATCAATCTCATGTTTGTGTATATCTTTTGCCATTAAAGTCAACCTGAGTTACATATTCTTGTGTTTAATTTTTCTATGTTTCTATACTTAAACGCATTTTTAACATTTTTATTAATAGAATACAATAAAACTATGTTTTGTGACTTGGCAAAACAATAATAATTTTATGCTCTCAGTTATGCTGTTATTGAAAGGGAACAATGTTTTAATAACTTTGGTAACTGAACCGTGACTTTTTATGATGTAAATTAATTTGGTTTTTATTTTTTTAGCAATCTATGCAAATTAATACTAGTAAACTAAAAATTTTTTTCACTGAATCAAATTAAAAATATTTTTAATGTTTTTTATTTTTTGTTTTAGTTTTTATTCAGTTCAAACAAATATTGAAATCAACGTTTCAAAGAAATGTTTATAATGCAATGAGTATTAAGCTCATTTCTAATAAATTGTTACAAGGGTAGGAATAGTAAGTAGTTGAACAAACAGGATGAACTTAAACATAGCTTGAAGGGTTTTAGGAAGGATTGAACAACAAGAAATGACAAAGTAGTCAGGCAACAATAATACCATCAACACAAAAAACAGTAAGCCTTAATGAGTTTCAATTAATTAATACTGCTTTTAAAATAACAAATAAAAGTGGTAACAAATAATTAATTGAAAAAGGTTCAAAATCAACATAAAAATGGTTTAGATAAGTAACCAAATCAAACAATGCACGGCCTTCAGTCATCATCTTCATCATCATCAACAAATATTTCCAGTTCTTCCAGAACATAGGCACCGATCATTGCCAGCCAAGCACCAAAGTAAATACCAGCAATGATGATCAAAACTGCTTTCAGAAAGCCAAACCGATTTCGGTGAATGATGCTTTCTTCTTCTTTGAAGATTTCATTCTCGTTCACCAAACTTTCTCTCAGTGTAGCTGAATATGCCTTGTCGTCAAAGTCTGAGGATGAAGTAAAGTTTAAAGGGTGATTGAACGGTTTATCTTGTTTAGCACAACAACTAGACGCCACTGAAAACGGTGAATATCTGCAAAAACAAAAACGAAATTAAATTAGTCAACAAAACAAAATTAAATGGTAAAGTAATTTATAAAAAGTACAGCATGTTAATTGAACGTACCTTTGCATGCAAAACACTGAACTTGTAGTTGGATTAGAAAAACTAGAATAGGGCAATCTAAGGAGAACCGCCTGCTTTCTGCCCGCATTAGTGTACAGCATCAGTGATCGCTTCAAGTGCAAGGCCGATCGACGAAGCAGCCTGCCACTTTGACTAGACACCAGATTTGCCTGTCCAAGCATCGTCGGTGTTGTTGTTTTGATTAGTGGATAAAAACAGTGCAGGAGATAAGAAACAGCAAACAGAAGGCAAACAGTGCGACTAACACACAGATACACACACAGTGAGTGATAAGTTAAGCTGGCTAACTCTGCAACTAAATGTGTGAATGTGGTGTGAGTGTGTTGACTGCTTTGAAGAGTGTGTGTGTGTGTGTGATTGTGAAGAGTTGTACAGCTGCAATTAGCTGCCGTACGACAGTGCAAGAAGAGACCGATGCTAAAGGGAGAAACAGTGAAAGAGAGTGAGCCAGATGTGCGGGGATGGCACTGCCAGAAGTGAGGGCAGCACAGCACCCAAACACTCAGGCGTCCTCTAGCGCTTACTTGTGACTAGCTTCTTTGGCAGGCAAACAGCAGACAGACACAAACACGCTATTCAATATTCACAAACAATCAACACACCGTTTGCCTGGCACAGCGAATCACACTAGCACATATAATTTTCTCTTTTTTTCCTAGCAGTGTTGTTCTTACCCGTGTTTGCCCGTCGTACTGCTGCGCCCGAGAGTTTGTGTGTGTGTGTGTTTGCCGGCAACTTATTTGTTTTTTCCCTTCCATCTTTTCCCTGACAAACTGATTGCTCTGTTTAGCATACTGCCAATAAGCGAAAATGTCACCCAAACTGAATCGCGCACAGTTGAAGCCCAAATCAAGCTACAAAGGCGTCTGGGTGGCCGTTGGCGTGGTGACAGCCATCTTCACCGCTCTCTACCCTATTGCCGTTTATCCGTACTTTCATATAAAAGAGTACCGTAAGTTTGCTTGTCTATTCTAATTTAAAATGGTATTTTTGTTTAACACAACTGCATTTGTTATTGGTTTTCCTACAGAAGACGCGCAAAAATCCAATCGAGTTGGCATTCCACGGGAGCAAGTGCAGCCGGGAAACATGCGCGTCTGGAGTGATCCTTTTGCGCCGAAAGACGATTGATGTTAGTGTTCAAATGTTTGTGTTTTTGCTCGAATGGTTATCATTTTTATTCGGCACTTTGTAATATCAAATGTTAAGCAACAATAAAGGCAATTAGTAAAGTAAAAAAGGTTACAACTGTACAATTTTGTTTGTATACAATTGGCATTTGGCGGTGTACACTATACAGTGTGTGTGTGTAAAAAGCAAAAGTGTATAAAAGTAGCACTTTTTAGGTATGAAAGAACAACAAATCAGTTGCTGAAAAAAGCATCAAAGTTGATTCACTAGCTAGCCACCTGAGTTGGCCTTTTCCTTCTTTTTTAGCTCATTTCCATCATTATTGCCGTCAAACAGTCCTCGGCCGTAGTACTTGGTCGCATTGAGGTGCAGCGAGTCGGCGATGGCCTTCCGAAAAACGTCATTGTCTAGGAGGATGGCGGAGACGTGGCCCCGGTTGAGGTAGCGCACCGAGGCGCCCTTCCAAATGTTCGTCAGCGGCATGACGCCCTCACTGGGCACGTAGGCGTCGTGGCGGGCGTTGATGATGATCGCCAGCTCAGGGTCGATTAGCGGCGTAAAGTTTGCCAGGTGGGTGCACTCGTCCATGATGCCGCGCATAAAGTGAAACGTATCTCGTTTTACCTCATCAGGGTTCACCGGTTTGTCGGCCGCTGTTGAAGACTGATTAGCCGAACTTTGACTGCTTTTGGAGCTTTTTGGGAACAGCTTCTCCAGATACGAGCCCAGGCTCATGTTCAGCTCAGAGAGCATGCTATTGAAGTTGATGGAGCTTTTGGCAAAAGTTCGACCAGCATCAATGATCTCCTCAATGTTCTGTTAAGTGCATGATGATAAAAAAAATAAAAAAATAAAATAAAAATAAGAAGTCAACTTTTGAAGTAAATAAAAGGTGTTTACAATAGTTTCCGGAGAGTGAATTAGCTTCTTGAGCTCATCCTTGTCGTCCTTGCCGTAGGAAAGGTACTGCGACTGAAGCACCTGCCAGGGAATGGATCCCGACATGACGCCCTGAGTAAAGACGCACGACGCCGTCGTCCAGGAGAGACAGGGCACGACACCGATGGGTTTGTGCCAGCTGGTCGCAGCGAGGGACGCGTTCTGTTTGGTAACATTTGATCAGTTGTATACATTTGCAAGTATTTTTAAGCAAAGTGTGTTACGTACATGGCCCCCCATTGAAATGCCCGTAATGCACAACGGACCAAAGCCCATCTTTTCCGCCCAGTGAAGCAGTGCTAGTGTTTCCAAAATCAGACAGCCACCCATGATGAAGATGTCTGAAACGTTGTTCAAATTGGAACGATTCTGGTTCACTGGTTTACGAAGGCCGTCTGTTGGGAGGAAAAACAAGTTGGTTATTAAAACAATGCGTCCAAACAAGGTAGTCGGCCATTTCATCGCAACCATTTCATTGCAAACCTTTTCATCGCGCGACCTTTTCATCGCAAGCCTTTTCATCGCAACTTTTTCGTTAGTTAAAGTAATATAGCGGGGGGTCAAGGGGGCCTAGGAACCCCCCTGAGGGGTGTGTGCAGAAGGGAGCCTAGCGGCTCTCTCTGCTAGTTTGCACGCGATAAAAAGGCTTGCGATGAAAAGGTTTGCGATGAAATGGCTTGCGATGAAATGGCTGCGATGAAATGGCTTGCGATGAAATGGCATAGAATCCCAACAAAAAACATGCTGACTAACAGAAAGGGTTTTCTAGAATGATTGACCCAATGCCATAGTCTTTAATCAGCGGTTTGGCCATAAAATTGCGTCGCCTCCAAAAGTTCTGTCAAATCAAAAAAAATACGCTAAAGTTATTGACAGTACACTTAAAAAGCACACATTTTTTATTACGCACATGATCTCCCGTGCCGGCCAGTTGAATGCAAAGTGGGCGAAGGTAGTCGGAGGGCCACTTTGTAGGAACAATCAGCTGAAAATGTGCGCGATGAGATTCCTTGGGAACTAGATCGTGCAGGTAGTCAACCAGTGGCGACCAGAAGTGTCCCTCGTACAGTTTGTAGTGCTCTGTTTGCTCCACTTTGCGATCAATGTACACTGGGTGGTCGGAGGAAACCAGGTGCTGACAGGTGTTTCGATTGGAAATGATTTTGCGAAACTTGAAAATTCTATAACAAACAAGGATAGTCATTTAAAAAAATGGTCATTTTTGCAAACTCCCTTTTCATTAAACTTACTTTTTCATATTCTCCGGGTTGCCCCATCCTTTGACGAAAAACTTGGAGAGGAGAATATTTCGATAGATGGTATCCAAACGACTAATAGCAGCGGAAGAATTGAGCACCATATTGAGAAGCAGCTGCGCTGTGTGATTTACCAATTTTCAAAATAAGCTGCTTGTTCATGAGTTGAATAAACCTGAACAACGGTACACAGAACTAAACCGGCAATGACAATGGCACCGGTACAATGAAGCACGCTAAGTGACGTTGCAAATTGGATGCGCGCTGGTTTTTTGTTTAATTCAGAACACTGCTGCTGCTGCTGACGCCGGTGCCTGTCTTCACACACTGTGAGTTTGATCGTCGGCTGAAGGGTGACAGTGAAGAGTTTTGGGTAAGTGAGCCCTGCTGTTGCTGTTGCTTCTTTCAGTGTCACTCTAGCGTTGGAGACAGACGCAATGATGTGCTAGCGTGAACGCGGTCTGATTAGTAGCTGTTGATAGTATAGGAAAGGAAAGAAAGGAACACACAGCACAGTGAAGTCATTTACACTTACATTTAGTAAACAGCAGAAGTGTATCATCAGCTTTCATCGAATGGTATCATCGATGTGTGAAGAGATACCCTGTCGAACAAGAGGAAAACAATATTCAAGAGTGATCACGTAAAAGGGATTGTCACTGCCAGGCTAGTGACCGGTGGTGCCCGGAAAGGTAAACAGAAGAGGTGTTACTTGCTTGTGACAGTATGACAGTGTGCGCACTTTGTTGTACTATTTTGCATTGCATTAAGGTAGTGAAAAAGTGCGAACGTGTTGCCAAAGATAGCAGGTATTAGTTTGGGGAACACTAGAAAAGTAGTAAGTGATGTGAATCACGTAGTGCGAAAGTGTTGCCTGCTTTGAATGTGCTGAAAAGTGCAGAGAAAAGCACAACAGTGTGCTGCGATTAGGGGCTGCAGACGCAAGTAGCAACTAAAGGCGGCACTGTGTTTGCGAGAGAAGGGCACTGCAATCGCTGTGTGTCTTTCTGACGATAGCAGTGCACACATACGCCAATAGTGAAGTGAAAGAGTATGGACGCTGCTGCCCTTTCTTCCAGTTTACAAAATATTTTTTTTAGAAACAGTGTCTTCATCTAGCGGTGATTAATGTAGTTTAAAATTAAAAATTGAATATTTTACAACTTATTTTGAGCTGACATTTAGTTGTTTTAAAAACGGCCTGGACTTAAAATGGTCTACAACTTTGATATTATTTGTAAAAATTTTAGTTTTTAGCATTAAAAAAATTAGTAAAGGCCTTTGCCAATCTGTATAGAGAAACTCCCTATTTTTGGAGGCTTCTAACTCTAGTGCTCCCTAATTTTATGGGTCATGTGTGGTATCAGAAAAACCGATAGACTCGCTAGTTTCAGAATAAAGCCATTTTGTTAGGGGAAACTCAGTGGTTTTCAAATGAGACCTTAAAACATGACCCATTGTAAAAACAGAGTTTGGGCCACTTGAAGACTCATAACTCTGGTGTTCCCTAATTTTATAAGTCATGTTTAGTATTAAATGAACAAGTAGTTTTTCTAATTTTTGAATATGTTTTAAAAAAAACTAATTTAATAAAAAACTAGAGTTTAAAAAATTCAAAAACGAATTTTTTACTTTGACAACTCGTAACTCTGGTGCTCCCTAACTTTATGGTTCTATGTTTAGCATGAAAAAGCCAATAAACTTTTTAGTTTCAGAATATGTCTACTTCGATGGGGGAAACTCAATGGTTTAAAAACTAGAACCCAAAAAGTCCGGTGATCTCGGGTGGCTATTTTGACTAAACCAGCCCCTGTGACTGCTTTAATTTGACCGCCCGCGACCCGAGTTTACTGGACTTTTGGGCTCTAGGTTTCAAACCACTGAGTTTCCTCCATCGAAGTAGACATATTCTAAAACTAGAAAGTCTGCGGGTTCTTTTGATATTAAACATGACCCATGAAGTTAGGGAACACCAGAGTTACGAGTTTTCAAATTAAAAAAATCCGAAGTTTGTACCTGTTTTTTAGATCTTCTGCAGCGAACCATTTTAAATCACGGTTTTTTCATAGACAATAAAAAATATATGAGTGCGCAGCAGACTTCAGAGATGCAAATAAAACCTTTGATTTTTATTAAAAATGTTTCCAATAGCTCACAATGCTTTAAAAAGTGTCCAACAACCTTCACAGTTGTGGGTCACGTTTTTTAGTTTTCAATCTAAAACCCCTTTGTTTCCCCCAACGAAACCGACATATTTGTGATTCAAATGGTCTACCTTTTCTATCCTTAACTATATTGGCTTTTTAACGAGGAAACAACAAAGTAGGGAATCGTTGGCAATGACCTTTATATTTTTGGTTAATGTTTTTTTTATTAAAAACAACAATGCAGTGTTTAAAAAAATTATTAAGTTTAGTGACATTTTAGGTGGGTCATCTTGTATATAAAAAATGCATTTTAATTAAAAAATGTTTCACATGTTTGAGGTCAATTGAACATAAAAAATTCCAATGTTGAATTTAGCTAGAAACACGATTTAGATTTTTTCGTTTAACTGGCCAATTCTCAGTAATTCCATTCTAACCGTTTGTATTTTAATTTCAAGCAAACTGTTTTCAATGTGGTTTAAAATGCGTGATTTTGTAAGTTTAACAAATAAAAGTCTACCAAACTATTGTCCATCTCTTTTTTTGTTAATCAAACAAAGTGGTCACACAATGATTTTGCATTTTAAAACATAATTTTAATTAACACTTTAAAATGTCAATGCATTAGTTTGATTAAAAATGATGAAAAGCTCAAAACGGAAGTTTGCACTTGAAAAAAACATATAAAAAATTTGCCTAAAAAAGCAAAATGTTGACATGTTTTTGTATATAAAGACCGGTTTCTATAAAAATTTAAAACAGTTTCTGATTTCAAATTGTTTTTAACTTTCTTTTAATCAAATTTCACATCATTATGTTGTGTTTAACTATTAATCGTTCATTTGTTGTTATTTATTTATGTTTAATCATAAACAATTTTTACTTTATAGATGCGAAATTAGTAAATAAAAAAAGTGACAACAACTCTAACAAAGATAAAGACATTTCAAAAAGTGAAAATTCTTCAGATGGTCAAAATAAACTGGCAAACATAGTGTTTTTAGATGAAACGTTCTTTCGAACACCTCTTTGGCCTGGACGCAAACGATCTTTTAAAACGGTTGATACCTCGCGTCAAAAAATTCGTTTTAAAAAGTTCACAAAGTTTTTGAAACAAGGTAAAATCATATAATATTCAAATAACAAAATGAACTAACTTTCAAACTATTTTAAAATTACAATTTTGAATTTTATATTTAGGAAAACGTATTGATTATTGGTAAAATAACAAATATTACAGTCAATTTTGTTACAAACAACCTGAAGTTTTTAATAGCAACGCCGACATAATCCAAAACATTTTTAAAACCAGTGTATTTTTTGTGTTAATTTAAAAACAAATTAAAATGTAGTTTGTTTTAGCAAATCAAAATTTTGTGTGTTTAATGAAAAAACACAAGTGTTTTTTAAATAATTGTATTTTTCTAAATAAAATTTAAGAACGATATTTAAAAACAAAATTGTATTGATAAACATAACACGCCTTTTTCTTGAATTAGTAATTTCCAAAACAATTTCAATATTAAACAGAAATTTTGTATTAAACGCAAGCATGGTAGGGTTCATTGGTGCGCAACGGAAGTGTTTTCGTGACAATTCATTATTAAAACATCTTAAAGCTTGAAACTTAAAAAATTAACAATAAGTTAGTAATTAAAATCAAATTAACCTTGAATTGCTGATAAACGTCAAAAAGACATTAAAGGTTTTTGTTAAACTGCCAATAAAAACTCCAACAAATTGATCAGTTTAATTTTTTAGTTTTGTGTGACAACATTTACGATTGTTCAATTAATATTTTTTGCATTATTTTTGCATTGTAGTTTCATAAATTGTTGAACTAAACATGAAAACTAAAATTTTGATCCGTTTGTTTGCTACTTCATTGGTCATTTGCATTGTTTTTGAAGCAATTGCTCCAGTTAGTGCTCAAATGACTGTTTCTGATCAAGGAGAAAACATTCAGCCAACAGCCGTTCCCGTGGAAAGTACTGTTCCCCAAACTGCTGGAATTGATCCAACTGTTGTAGATCCAGTTCCACCAGGGCCCGCTTTTACGCCTGACGCGTCAGTGCCTATGCCCCGACCCTCTAAACCTCGTTTTGATCGTTTCAACCGCTGGATGAAAGTGCTGAATGAATTCTTCACTAAGGGCAACTGGCTGAACGGTGGACCAGATGATCTTTTGCAGTATGCAATGCACAATAATAAGTTTTTGTTAGTGTTTATTTATAACAAATTTAATTTTTAGGTACATTGGAAGCACTTTAACTAAACTAATGGACATTCTAATGAATCGAAATCTTGATGATGTAACCACTTCGCAACTTTTTGGCGACTATGCTCCTCAAGCGCGAGCCGTTCTTCAGAAAGACCGTTCACAACTGACTGTTGCCGACATTTTACGAATGATTCCACAAGATCGTTTGAATGTGCCAGCTGATCGGTTTTTTAATTAAACATAATGTTTTAAATTTTTTGGGAAATTTTTAATTAATTATATATAAGTCTGGTTCACTTTTACTAAATTCTCTAATTAATACAAACAAATGTCCAATTTAGTTTTGGCTTTAATAAAAACAATAAATAAGTTATTAAATTTTGTATTTTAATTGCTTTATATAAACTTCCATAATAACATCAAATGATGAAAATTTAGGCAAAAATAGTGAATACATTTGTACAAAAAATGAAAAAATAAATTATCAAAAAATGGTTACAAAAAGTTGATTAACTTGATAAGTAAAAAACTAATGAAAAAGGTAAAAAGCGAGCCAAAGTTCACACTGCCAGTCCAAGCAGCATTAATGGTAAATTCCAAACCGGCTGCGGAGAAACGGGCCGGAACGCTGTCGTCCACTCGGAACTCAATCTGTTGGGGAAATTCAAAACAAACAAATGTTAAACACATCGTTAAAGTGTTAACACAAAAGCAGTGTGGCAATATTGGTTGTGGATTTCTTTACCTGTTCAGACATCTTTCCGTCGCCGCCATTGCTGAAGGCGAGAACGCGCAGTTTGTAGGCCTTTCCGCGCACCAGATCGGAGATGATGGTCTGCAGCGCGCCGCCGTCCAGGTACTTGTACACCTCAATGGCGCGCGTGATGGGATGGTCGGCGTCCCAGTAGCGCACCTTGTAGCCCTTGATGGGCTCCTCGGCGGCGGACAGGGAGCTGATGCCGCGCCAGGTGACCAGCACCGACCGCCCGTCGATCGCAGTCACATTGACGGAGGTGGGGTGCTGCTGGGGGGCGGCCTTGAAGGTGCGCGCCAGGAAGGGTTCGCTCTCCGGGCCGGCACCGGCCTCATTGTACGCCATCACGGCGATGTAGTACTCGGTGTCGGGCAGCAGGCCGACGATCAGGCCCCAGGGCTCGTTCGGGTCGCGCTTCAGAAGCTGCAAGGCGTCCAGCTGCGGGTCCTGATTGAGCTTCCAGTACTTGATGCGGTGGCCAATTAGCTGGCCGCGCAGCTTCTCTCGATTGGTGTCAATCGGCAGCCAGGTGACGTTCATCGCCGTGGAGTTGTGCGCGATGGCGTAGACGCTGGTGGGCGCCACCTGGGGCATCGACTCGGCGGAGTAGGCGACCACCGGGTCGGAGATCTTCAGACCGGCGCCCACTTGGTTCATCGCCTGCACCATGACGAGGTACCGCTTGTAGTAGTTCTCCTCGCCGACGTTCACCGCAAAGGTGTTGGTGTTGCCCTGCTTGGTCAGGTTGTGGTCAATGTACGGCTGCTGGTAGCTCTCCTCTGGCCTGTAACACAAATTTGGTAAATACTCAAATTTTAATGAAAGAAAGAAAGAAAAGCACACTTACTTGTAGAACACTCGGTAGTAGATGTCCGGTGCGTTCCAGTCCTTAGGTGGCAGCGGCTGCCAGGTGATGGTCAGCGTGCCCACCTTGCCGTTGAGGTAGCCGACACCGGAGGGCGCCTTGAAGGGCACCGCCTTGTCCGTATTGTAGCTGGGCGACGCCTCAGAGGGCAGGCCGACGCCCAGTTCGTTGAAGGCTGACACGCGGAAGCGGTAGGTGGACCAGGGCGAGAGGACGCCCTTGAGGTGGACCATCTTGCGGTTCGTCTCTCGATTTGTCTCATAGGGATTCGCGTACTCGGTGGTGTTGAGAATGGTGTGCCACTGGTTGAAGTGATTGGTGATGCCTGTGCTCAGGTAACAAAGGTAAAAAAGTGTTAGTTATTAAAAAGCAATCAAAAAAATAAGTGTGCGAAACGCGTACCCTCGACTTGGTATCCAATAATACGACGGCCATTGTCGGAGCCATCGCTCCACTGGAGACGGGCATCAGTGGCGGTGATGTCGTCGGCGACCACCGCCCCGGGCGCCCCCGGCTGTGCGTACAGCTGAATGCGGGTGCTGGCCACCACCGAGCCGACCGTCGTCTGGACGATGCACTCGTACTCGCCCGTCTCCGCCAGCGTCAGATTGACAATGGTCAGGTCGCCGTCCATGGTGCTGCGCATGCTGTACTGGGGCGCCTTCGCCAGGTCCAGGCGGAGGCCGTTGTGCTGCCAGATGTAGGAGACGTCCAGACTGGCGTCAGTCACCGCCATACAGGGCAGACTGACCGACTCGCCCACGCGCCGTTCATAGACCGGGTTGGGGCGGACGTACAGTCGGGGACGGCTGAAGACGCGCAGGCGGCCGCTGGTGCGGTCCTGGCCCAGTGAGTTGCGGGCAGTGCAGGTGTAGGTGCCCTCGTCGCTCCGTTGCACCGGCGAGATGCTGAGGAAGCCGTTGGCCAGCTGCCGAACTCGGCCGCCGCCAGTGTTCAGGCGAACCCCTGTGGGGGTCGAAATGGGCAAAGTTTGGTTAGTTTGATTGTTTATAAACACACCCATTGTACCATTAGCACTTACAGTCCTTCTGCCACTCAAAGGTGGGCACGGGCAGCGCCTCCGGGACGCAGGGAAGGGTGATATTGCCGCCCTCGCCGGCGTACAGCTCCGTCGGCATGGGGTACTTCTGAAAGGAGGTGGCTATCTGGACGATGCGCAGCTGGCCGCTGCTGAAGGCGGTGCCCAGCTCGTTGGTCGCCTTGCACTGGTACATGCCCTCGTCGCGTTCCGGCAGCAGGCCGTGAATGGTCAGCCGCTTGCCGCTCACCTCGTACCGATTGGCGTCCTCAATCGACAGCTTGCTCTTGTCCGAGATCTCAATGCCGTTCTTGAACCACTGGTAGTACACGGCGGGAATGCCGAAGGCCTCGCACTCCCAGACCAGCGTCTCCAGGTTTCGCTCCTCCACCTTGTTGCCGATCTCCTGGAGGATGACCGGCAGCGACTGAATGGAGAGCGCCACCGACTTGCTGATCACGTCCTTGCCCGAGGTGGCCGTGCAGATGTACTCCCCTGAGTCCTCCACCTTCGCCTGCGGAATGATCAGCACTCGATTGTAGCTGGTGGGGTAGGAGCCCTCGGGCATGCGGTCGGTGATGCCCGTGCGGCTCCAGTTGTAGTACGGCACCGGGTAGCCGTAGGCCATGCACTCCAGCCGAATCTCAGAGCCGGCCAGCTTTATGTCGGGGAAGATCTTCGGGAAGTGGTTCGGAAAAAGCAGTTTCTGTGAGCTGGACGCCGACTCGACGACCAAGGTGAAGAAGGGCCCCGTCCGACCGGAGGAGGCAATGGAGGACTTGACGTTGCAGGAGTAGTTCGCCCGGTCGATCTTCTCTAGCGAGGAAAAGTAGAGGTTGCCGTCGCGCGAGATGAAAATCCGCCGGTCGTCCTCGATGATGTACTGAAAGGAGTCCCGCGACCAGTGGTAGTTGACGCCGGGGTGGTTCTTCGGCGGGTCGCAGCTGATGGACTTGCCCCAGAATTCGCGGCCGTACTCAGGCGAGCGCTTCTTGGTGAACTCGCCGATGTAGCCGAAGGTAAGTTGGACCGTCTTGGAGATAACGGTGCCGTACATGTTCGAGGCCATGCAGTGGTACTTGCCGCGGTCCTTCTCCGTGGTGGGCCCGTTGATGGTGAGGATGCCGTCGGTTTGGGTGTAGCGGCGGTCGGAGAGCGGGTCAATCAGCAACGGGCGAATGTAGTTGCCCTGGTACTCCTCGCGGTACCACCGGTACTTGGGCGTGGGAAAGCCGTCAGCGACGCACTTCAGCGACACGTAGTTTACCGAGCTGCGACCACTCACGTCAAAGACCACCGACTCGGGCTCGTGAATGAAGCGAGGGCCGCGAGGGATTTGCTTCTCATCAATCACATTAATGCCGTAATCTGGTGAATCAGAACAAAAACGTTAGTTGTTGTTGATGATAAATTAAAACAGTTGTCTTTACCAATATTGCGCTCTATAGCGGCGGCAAAGTTGACATCCTGGCGACGCATCTTGCAAACGTAGCTGTGGTACTCAGCGCCACCAACGCGAACCAGGCCCCAGCGGTTTAGTGACTGAGAAAAGCTGTAAGTAAACAACAAAGTGTTAATAAAAAGGTTCATATATGATAACAAAAACCGTACTTGTACACGGCGTTTTGAGCATTTCGGCTGTCCCACACTGTTGGCTGATTTACATTCAGTCCTCCTCCTCCTCCTCCTCGATTGGCATCAATAATGGACTGCTGCTGATTGGCGGGAAACTGATTTGCCGGCGATGTCAGCTGCTTCAAGTCCTGTGGCAGCCAAATGGTGGCAAGAATGGAGAAGAACTCTCGCGCTCGGCCGCCACCACCACCACCGCCACCACCGTTGTAGCCGGCAGGGTCGAGCGGCNTTTGCTGGCGATGTCAGCTGCTTCAAGTCCTGTGGCAGCCAAATGGTGGCGAGAATGGAGAAGAACTCTCGTGCTCGGCCGCCACCACCACCACCGCCGCCGTTGTAGCCGGCAGGGTCGAGCGGTCCTAGCGCCCCCTGGATGCCATTGGAGGCGCTGGAGAGTGAGCTGGTGGCGCCGGTGGTGCTGAGCACGTGGATGGGCACATTCCACCGCCAGCTGTTGCCGCCCACGTCCTGGGCGCTGGTGTACCAGCTCTGGTGGACGGGATCTCGTTGGCGGAGCCAGTCAGTGATGAACTTGTGCTCCTCCACGGAGAGCACCGAGAGGAGGTGGGCGTTGAAGCGGCTGCAGGCGGTGCTCGCCTCCTCGTACGTCTTCAGTGGATTGCGCACAAACTTGTAGCAGTTGGTGCCGTACTCCTCCCAGTCGGAGGGACAGCGGAACTCGTAGCCGCTGACCTGTGTTCTTGTGAGGTTGTTGAGCAGCAGCAACAGCAGCGGTAGTAGAAGGGTGGAGAAGTATTTGGCGAAACGTGGTAGGCAAGGCATTTTTGGTTGTTGTTCGCTAAAGCGACAATTAAAGTTTGAAATAGTAAAGTGGAATAAGGTAGGAAAGTTTGGTGAAAGTGCTGAGAATTGATCAGATTTGGTAGTGGTTAATTGAGAGTGCAGGTTGAATGCGGAAGTTGATGATGACAGAGTGGTGGTGGTGATGATGGGGTCGATGATTCTAAACAAACAACAACAGTTGTTATTACTTTCACTACAACTCTAAACAATCAGGCTTGTTCAAACTGCCACTTTACCTGAAATGAAGCTGATCACTCAGCACTGTTGCTTTGAGCTTTCAACATTGCGCGCTTTTTGATGCGGTATCGGTTTTCATGATTAGAGTTAGGTGATCAGTTTGGAACTTCTTCTTTTTGGTGTTGAATAGTTTTTGGCTCAGTTGGTGGGCAAACCTACTTCCGATAACTACTAAAACTACGGTCGAAAGTGTGGTTGTTGTTTTTATTCAGCAGCAGCACTACCACCGTGAGCTTGTGCATGCCATCACCTCGACAGCAGTGCAGTTGTCAAGCATCGGCAATTTGTTGGAGATGTGTTGTGGACAGTGCACTCGTTGCTGCTGTAATGTTTGAGCTGCAAGTGAAAAAGGAGAGAGAGAGAGATGCTAACCGTTGCCGAAGCGCCAATGAAGCGAGATGACTAATTGCTGAGGTAGGGCAGTGGTAGTAGTAATGGGAATGAGTGTGTGTATGTTTAGTGTCACTGTGCACTCTCTTCTTTCTTCCTCTCTTCTCCCCTTTGCCTTCCTCGAAACGGCTGAATAGTCGAAGTGGGCAGTGTGGGCAGAGAATGTTGTGGCACACTGGGCAAACTGTTATGACAACGAGAATCAAACAAGTGGTAATGACAGGCACTTGAATTAGTGGTGTGCAGTAAAAAAATAGGCTGAGAAACAATGTGTAGGTAATAAAGTGGTGTAAGTTTAACAATACGATAACTGCTGACTATTGCCAATGATCAGGTTTATATGCGTTTTTAATTAAGGCACTAAAAAGCTACCNGTGGTGTAAGTTTAACAATACGATAGCTGCTGACTATTGCCGATGATCAGGTTTATATGTGTTTTTAATTAAGGCACTAAAAAGCTACGATTGGATGTGGCAGTATAAAAGAAGCTGAAAACTACAGTGGCAAAAAAATGAATCAAGTGATTGACAAGTTGATCATGCGAAGTTGCTTTTTCACTTGTAGCCAATTACTAAGAAAAAGAGTAAAAATAGTTATCAGCTAACTGATTTCACCAAAAACAGCAAAAAGAAAAAGATAAAACAAAAAATCTTAAATAATCACAGTGGAGAGAGTGGAACGACAAGTGTAAAACTCGTACTTACTGCACTCATCGATGGGTCACACGCGACAGCTTTAACTGTCCGCGGGCAAGGTGGTATGGGTTACATTCT